TATTTATCAGACACTGGTGATATATATATATGGTGACTTATTTAGCACTTAGTAAAGTCCAGCAGTAGAAGTCAGACCATAGCCTTTGTGTCACTTAGACTTTAAAAGGACATAAACCAGTCTTCATTACTCCATGTCTCTACACAAAGTCTCTCCTTTTTGTTTGGCTTCTGCATTAGAGAGGAGGGAGTGCACCTGAAGCAGTCCCTTGTTCCTTGTCTTTGTATTTTTGGTGTATCATGAGCTTGGTTGTCAGATCTCAGCTGCTGAATACGGCTTCATTTGCTTCAGAAAGTGTTATCTACAAGGAGGCAAATGTGCCCTCTGCTGACTTCATCCCGACTAGAGTTTAAAAGCTGCTGTCAGAGAAGATACAGGGGAACTGTTGTTTGCAAACAAAACAAATTAAAACACACATCTTTTATCCTAACAAAGCAATTAGTGTTGATTCGCAGCTTCACTTGGTTTTTGTTTCCTGACCTTGAGCACATTGTGATGGTTTTGTGCTTCCTTGGACAGTTTCTACTTGCCTCTGCATCGATTAAACCTTGATCTCATTTATTATCTCAGGAAATGGTCTCAAGGTCACAGGGCTGGAAATTTAATTATGGTGGCAGTATATTAAGTGGCACATTTAAAGATGCTGAATCGTAGTAATTAATTTTTTGGATGGTGGTCTCTAGGGAACAGGTTTTCTCTGCACTGGGTGTTTAGACATCCATCATGGCCATTCAGCTTGGCAGCTGTCTTTTAGCTTTAAACTGCGTCATTATTCATCTTTTACGACTGACTTTAAAACACTAGACAAGTATATCCTTTTTTATTGTAATATATGTCAGATGCTTGTATTAAGCTATACTTCACCTTTGCTATAAAACATTAACAGAGGTTGCTAGTAGTTACCTGGGCCGGCCTCTAAATTGAGACAACAATTACCCTTCGCTGACATCTAGTGTCAAGTTATGAGATATAGCTGGAGTGCTGAATCCATTGGCCTGGAAATCCTGCACTTCCCTACTGATTCAGGCTCACCCAAGAAGCTGCAGCGCTGGACATAATTAGTGGACACGAGGGATTAACTTGGCACTCAGTGTTGACTTTGTAGCAGCACGAGGTTATTGAATGAAATGCAGTACTGCCAAGGTCTTAAAAAGCTTGTAATGTTTAATGAAGGAATGGTCATTAAACTTGCTGGATCAAATATTAGGCAAGATGGAACTGGGAGGCATTTAATAAAGAGGCCTGAAAATATGAACTAAATCACATACACTCATTTAAACGGCTGGCTAAAGCCCAGAATATTTCAAAGTTGTTCACTGCTGGTTTGAGGTAGATGGGATGAGCTGGGAAGAGCAGGAAGCGGGTTCTAGCTTTCTGTGTGACTTCACTGGAAGTTTTTATACTATAGCATTATATTTCCTAAATGAAACACTTTCAAGTTCACACATTCTGCTGGCATTGCAAAGAAACGTTCTCTAGGGTGCCTAAGGGCATGGGAGGTCGCATCGTGAACAGTGTCCACTGATTTTAGATGAGGTCTTCATACCCTCTGTCAGGATGAACCTTCCAGAATCAAGACCAAAATATTAAACAGTGGATATCAGACTATTGTTACAAGAGTTGATCCTCACACCCCTGTATTGGTGATACTGGTTTTAGAGGCTGAGATGAAGAAGAAAACCCCTTAAAGCTGTTGGGACAGCCAGAGAATGGAATGAAGTTCTAGGTATAGAATATTTGGCGTAGCGTTCTTCCTGAGCCTTGTAACCTCTTCATCTTGAGACACAGTTCTCCAGCAGGGGAAATCTTTGTGTATGCAGTGTTTGATCTCATAAATCCTTGCCCTGAGCCCATCTAGCTGTTTATGCTACTTGGCCTTTCTGTAGCAGTAGTATCTTCTTCTATGGAGATGAGGTAGATCTCCTTTTTGTACTGTGTGTTTTGTGACTGAAAGTATGCAAGTGTGCTTGAGACCTTTAAATGCTGCATGCATGCAGTGGAACTGAAAAAACTAGGTTTCCTAGATGTAGGTGTCTTTTGAGTGCACCTTGCTTCCCTGACAAACTCCAGCAGCACACTGTGCTGCAGCTTAGCAAGTACCACCCAGTGGCTCACATTAGTTCAGAGGCTTTATAGGCAGTATTAGTAAATGCTGAGCATGTCACCCCTCTGTGGCCGGGGCTTGGATCTAGATGATCTTTAAGGCCTCTTCCAACCCAACCCATTCTGTGATTCTTTGTCAGTTCTCCAGCCATGGTCTGTGTTGCCAGTTTGAAAAGGAGAATAGCAAGCAGAACAGCAGGCATACCATGAGATCTCTGTAGTCAGATCTATGAAAGCATACAGTGTTTCCTAGCTTTACTTTGGTTTGACTGCAGACTTAGTGGTGTGAAGGACATCTGCCAGAAGTGATAGCACAGTGGTTTCTGACAGAGTTGCATATGCAGCTTTGGAGCTGCCTAAATCTCGTTTAATTTAAGAGGTACTAGAAGGAAGACAAAAAGGGAAACAAACATCCCCTCCTGATGAAGTGAGGAATGTTCAGGGCATATGTGCTGGTGTATGGGCATAGTCTGGATCCCTCTTTGTCTCTTGCTTCCTAAAGATGTTTTTCTAGTCATTAGGCCTCTTGCATGTATTTTGTGGTCTAGATCTGGTGGCTTCTCTGCACACAGGCTGTGAGATGCTCTCCAGGGCAAGGGAATATTTAATGTGGTGTACACATGATTAGTCATTAGGTTAAGATTCTTCCCTATGTGGGCAGTGAAGCACTGGCACAGGGGGCCCAGAGAAGCTGTGGCTGCTCCATCCCTGGCAGTGTTCAAGGCCAGGCTGGATGGGGCTTGGAGCAACCTGGTCTGGTGGAAGGTGTCCCAGCCCATGGCACGGGGCTGGAACTGGATGATCTTAAGGTCCCTTCCAACTTGAACCATGCTATGATTCTACAATATGATGACAACTTTGTAATTTCCTCTTAAAAACAGCCTATATGCTTGTAGATTAGCACTTTCCCACTTTCAAATACTGCAGTAGAATATAAAAATGGGGATTAAGGTATCCTGGTCACTCGTGGTTCTTTTGCAAGTGTGTAGGCTACTCATATGTTATTATTTGGGTATTTAGCCAGGCAAAGCAGAACAAATCAGAGCTAAATACAGCTGCAAGAACAGGATAGTCAGAACGGTTTATTCCCCCCCCCTCCAAGTTTCTGAAGAAGTCCCTTTGTTCAGAATCCACTGGATTTTGTGAAGAAACAAACGTTGCAATATAAGAACTAAGGTGGAATTGCAGTATTCGATGAGGATTATACCTGCAGCTTAGCAAGCACCAAACAAGTTAAAGAGGATGTACGGATATTCTTTTTGTCAAGCTTACCTTTTCTCACTTGTACCTTATTTTAATGAAGAACATTTAGACATTTGAGTTGTTATTCTCCACACTATTGATGAAGTAAAAAATGATTTGAATACATCTGCATGTAAATATTGCCCTCAGTGTGTATGTACATGGGTATTCACAATGGAATGGGAACCAGCTGTATAGGAAGTTTAAATTTTGGAACATGTAGAAGAGATGAAGTCAGTGTATCTTAAGTTAGCACTGTTGGCAGAGTGATGGATGTGTAATAAATAAACCGTAGGTTAAGATAAGTTTATGCAAGTGATTAGGTGAGCAGCTGTGCACAGTAAATGGAGAAAGAGAAGAAAAAATCATTAATGGCAATTTCAGAGGAGGCTAATGGCAGCAAATTAAGTTTTCATCACAAACTGCTTCTTCAGCTGTAGTCATGATCTACATTTTATTCAGATTATCTTAGTGTTGGATTCAGTTACTGGCATTTTTGGTGAAACCAAGATAGCAAATGTTCCTGCAGTTCATGTGCGATGATGTACTGGATGGATGGCAAAATCAGTCTGTTTCATGTCTTTTTTTATGTCAACAAGCTCAACAAAGCCAATTATTGTTCATGTCTGGAGGCTTTTACCTAAAATGCTACAGTAGGTCAGCAGTAATAAAGAACAATTGTGCTTTTACCTCCTTTTATAACAGACTTGCATACATTTGGTTAATCAGAATTTCTCGCACTGAAAGGCTGGGTTTATAAAACCAAGCATGGGAGGTGTGGATCCAAGCTGTGTACCACCAGAACCTTCAAATGATGTATCAGGATCCACCCCCTGCTTCTGAACCATCTCTTACTAGCATGAAACACATCATTCTTTGTAATGACTTCTTGCAAATGTAAAATCCTGTTTGAGTAAACATGTCTTTAAAAACCTTTGAAAGTTATTCAGTATAGGTTACTTTTTTCTTAGCTCTGAATGCCAACACTGTAAGTTTCTTTTGTATGAGGTATGCAATAACTGGATTCCTACGTATAAGAACTCTCTTTCAGCACTGTTTCAGTGCATGTGCACATGACTGATATCCTCATAACCATCCACCCTGAACTACATTCAACTTTCCTAAATGAGATTTTATTAGAACTGATTATGATCAGATAAATGGGTGACTTCACTAATGTATAATACACTTTTCAATTATAGAGTACGTATGATAATTTACATTTCTTGTTTGATAGCATGATATTTATGTGACATATTCTGGATGAGATCTGCTGCTGTTTATATTATGGCCTTACTTTTCTCTTAAATCTGCTTTCAAGTTCTTGCAGTCTATTTAATTATTTTGGATAAACAAAGATGTTACAAATCCAACTTAATTTACCCTTCAGTGGAATGAAACCTACTGATGGATAAATTCTGCTCCCCAGATCTGTTGCCTAAGGAGACAGATTCTGTCATCATATTAGCAGATGAACATAATGGAGATTGGAATAGGGACTGTTGCCAGTTGGGTGAGTGCAGAATCAAGCAGCCAGTATAAAATTGACAGTTGAGAGACTGCTAAAGAAAAATTGGTTTTGATGAAGGACCAGTGTCTTTCTTGCAGTAGATCTGAGTTATACCTCCTGGGTTAACAGTTTTCTTTACACACAGAGATCCTGCAGGATGCGTTGCTGATTTTGAGATATGGGAGAATAGGAGCATCTTTCCTGGTAAAGAATCACTGGACAGGGGAAGAAAGAGAAGTAGGTAACATACTTCCCCCCCCCCCCCCCCCCTTTTCCTCCTAATAACCTATGCAACTTTTTAACTGGTGTCAACACCCAGAGAGACAGCAGTCAGAAAAGAGAAGCGGTCTATAGGTCCATCAATAGATTGTATCAGTAAATAGCTTTTACATTTTATATTAAAAAAAGAGCCAAAATTAAAATTGTGGGGTCTGTAAACTCCAAGAGGTCAAGAATTGTGAAAACTGCCAGGTTACAGAACTGAATTTTCAGCTGGGGAATGCATTCGAGGAATCTGTAAATTAATCTCTCTGAATGCCTCCAGATGATCAACAAGATTTCATCAAAGGAGACAACTCTGCATGTAATACAGTGTAAGGGAAGTCAAGGTAGAGGCTGGTTGTGTTGGAAAGCCATGAGTGCTCTATAGCAGTCTTCCCAAAAGGGTTTAAAGAAGAAAACAAACTTGCAAATAAGCCACGCAGTTGTGGTGAGTTGTGTTCCCTTCACGTTCCATGGCTCGGTGCTGGTTTCTTTTGGAAGTAGCTGTCTTTGGAAGTGGTTGTTCTTCCAGTCATGCACTATTTACACAGCTGAAATGTGACAGCACATATAGTGCCAATCGGTTTCTGTGTGTATTTATATACATATATAGTGTGTGTATATTTACACAACTCACAGTGTCCTCAACTGGCAGAAATTCCAACATCCCTACAAGATACACAAAGAATTTATGCTTGGTCAATATGGCACTGGTACACGGTACTCAGATATTTGGCTTTTAGTTCTTTAATAGCTGTCAGGAAATAGACTTCATGCTTGTACAGCAGCTCAGCAAAGAGCTGAGAACTCAAAGCTGTGTTTTTAAGGAACATTGAAGACTGTGACAAGACTTCGTTTTTTCTCTCCCTTAATGGCAAACAGAGGTAATTGACAATATATCTACTGCACAATTAACATTTTCAGTTGGTTTGAGTATCCTTCTGCTTTAGTCATTCCTGGCACAAGTCCACTGGACTTAAAGAAGGAATGAAGCAAGCTCTGAGGTTAGCTGAACAGTAGCATTTTGCTAAGGGACACTGAAATTTATAAGGTTAAGAGCTTGTTAATAAAACATAATTGTGTGTACTTTTTGCTTCCATAAAATGTTTCATAAAATGATCACTTTATTCCAGTGTTAATGCTCTTGTTGTGCAGAGACTGCTGCCATGGGTCTGTGACTTGTAAAAATAATGTGAGCTGATGAGCAACTTGCATGGTCTTTGCCAAACTACTGAGTTATATTAATAGCTGATCACAGCCTACTATTTTATTAGGACAGCATTTTCTAAGCTATTGACAGATATATCAACAGCACTGTGGGGCATCCACAGCTTCTGTGGGCAACCTGTGCCAGTGTCTCACCACCCTCACAGGGAAGAATGTCTTTCTTGTATCTAGTCTAAATCTATCCAATCTAAATCTCCCCTCTGGCAGGTTAAAGCCATTCCCCCTTGTTCTGTCCCTGCAGGCTCTTGTCCAAAGCCCCTCTCCAGGTTTCTCGTAGCTCCTTTAGGCACTGGAAGCTGCTCTAAGGTCTCCCCTTAAGGAGCCTTCTCTTCTCCAGGCTGAACAAGAAGAGCCTCTCTCAGGCAACTGTGAAAGCTGAAGGAAGCAATTCAAGGCACTTGCTGCATGGACAAACTATATGTGGGCATGCTCTTGCACTCAAGATTTGTGACCTGAATCTGACTTCTCTCTCTAAACTAGTTCACTGCCTTCCAGTAGCAAGCTACTGAAAATGCAGGTAATGTGATTATGAAAAATCAAGTGCTGTGTAAAAGTAGACTATGCACTTAACCCTGTGTGAGGCAAAGCAGCTATGTGAGTCTTCAAACCATAATTCTCTTCCTTCTTTAGCAGGACACCACCTGCTATTGAAGTCACTAACTATTCTGATTAGACAAATTTCCATATGCATTCTCCTTGTGTCTCAGTAATGAGGAGTGTGCTTGTTCCAAAATAGCCCTTCTACAGCTAAATGTGAGAGCATGTGTATCTGATTCATTTTGAGCTTGGAGTTTCTTGTATTGAAAACAGGAATACTCCCAAGAAGTAAATACTTAAATAAAAGCTGATGCAAGTAAGAGGAATGCTGAATCCACAGAATGCATTATTAACAGCATATTAGTACACACACTGGCTGAGACACATAGGTAGTTGTGCATGCTGCAAATAATTCTCTGGGTGTCAAAACAGTCGTGCACAGGGTAACTGAACACATTGCAGGCAAAATGGCATGAGCCATTTAAAATCGTGATTCATTCATGAATCAGTGGATAGCTGTTCTGACACTCTAACAGTCTATTAAAGCAGTTGGGCAAAACCCTTGTGACTGGAGGATTAAGGGTGACCTCTTTTCCTGCTGTCCTCATCTAAGCTGGTGTATGCCTGTGTCTATACACACGTGAAGCCTTTACTACTCCTTTAGGTTTCCTTGCAGAAATATCAAAGTGTGGTTGCTTTACCACATCAGCTTGAATTTTGTTCTTGTGCTTCTCCACAAAAGTAACTTCTTTTCTAGCCTGCCTTTGACTATAAGAGAACTTCCCAAGGAGCAGCCAGAAAGAAACCCCCGTCAGACTGAAGTTGTTGAATTTGGGTATGATCATGCAAACAGCCATGCAGAATTTATTTAACCTTCAGCCAGTTGCTCAACCAAGTTGAAATTATTGATAGCCCATCAACAATGATCAAGATGGAGAGACTAAATGAAGAGGTGCCTTTGCTTTTTCTTCTCCAGTCTCCCCTCCCCCCTTTGCCCCCCCCTTTTTAATAAGAGAGCCATTGATCTGATAACAGGACTTGAAAAGCCGTGTCAGCTCAGCTAGCATGGTCAAGGAGCTCAGCTGTAGAAGGGAAATAAAACTGTTCAGTTACGGCTGCCCTCCAATCAGTCACAGGGGTAATGATGTTTGGCTTTAGTCAGGTTATATGTCAGTAAATATACATCTCTCAGACAGCCTTTAAGACATCCTTAAGCTCATGCTTATTGTTTTATATAGATAGGGGTCGGATGCTGATATATGGTGGTCATAGGCCACTGAAATAAATTTCACAATATTCAGCTGGTAAAGTTAATCTCAATAGATGAGAATGTGACCGCAGTTTTGATAGAATATTCACTCCATTGACAGTGATGGGACATTTTTTCTCTGTAAGGTTTTGTGCAAATCACTCAAATGCAGATAGTATTTTTCCCTGCCTTCATTCTAAGTGTATCACACCTGAAGTGAGCAGTTACAACCAGTCTTTACTGTAGAACCTTGGCAAGTTCAAAATTCCAGGCTCTAACCACAGCTGTGGGCTATGTTCTGTTCACCCACCATGCTCACAGGAATGTGTGAATCACACTGGAAGGCAGGGAGACCTCAGCATTCCAGGTTCTGCCAAGTACTGGAAAATCCAAATGTCATCTCTCTCATATGTGATAGTGTGAACTGTCTCAGGAGCAAAGGACTGAGACAAGACCACACCAAAACAGACATTCTAGACTAACAGCCCTATAAATTAAAATCTTACTTTAAAAATGTTACTGTAGACTGTGAAAAATATTTTTTACCATCCTTTTTTTCTGATGATATTTAAGTTTCCACTTAAGCATCCTATTGTTTGTATCTGCTTGCAAATATTGAATCACACCTTCCATTACTGTGGATTGAATTAGTCAATAAATTTGCTGTGTCTCTCAATAGCATTTGAGAGTTAAGATGCTCTACTCACCTTTCTTAGTAACATATATTGAGTTGCTATAAAAAGCAGAAAGTCCATTATGCCAGCTTCTGCTCTTACTAGTATCCAATATTACCATTCCACAGAGCAAGGAAATGTAAAAACACAGCCTAGGTGCATGTCCTGTAACACCAATACAATTAGACCAGAATTTGTTTAAGCCATATGTGGTATTTATTCCGTAAATGAAACTTGCTTGGGGCCTTAGTGTATAATGTAGTGTTCATTTTTAATTCGGCAAAAATGTGGCTTTAAGTCTAGGGTTAAACTAAAGCATTGAGCTGCCCTATGGTGTAGCAGCCTTCAATCCAGATCTAGAATAACAAAACAGGTTTAGTTTAATTTAGTAGGCTTAATCTTTTATTTTGTGATAAAGACCTGGAGTGGAAACACAACAGGTGATGTCCAGGACTGCAGGCAGAAATGTTTGTAAGTTGATTTTATATCAGGCTTTGAATGTTAAACTTTGTTGATGTTGCTTTGCTGTCTTTGTTTGGGTTTTTTTTAAGTTGCTGTAGTCAATGAACAATGACAATGAAAAGAAACCAAACCCCTCCAGAGATCCAGGTCCTTTGACAGTGAAGAAACCAAACCTCTCCAGAGATCCAGGTCCTTTGACAGTGAAGAAACCAAACCTCTCCAGAGATCCAGGTAAGCCCAAGTTCATTACCAGTGAGGGAATGGCACAAGCACTGTGTCTCTTTAAGACAGATGGAAATTCAGGAAGTGGGAGTGAGTTCAATTTGTATGTGATGTTGAATATAATCTTCATACTACTTCTGGATGTCTGATTATAAGCACACATATGTTAGTCACAATGTTTAAGTCAGTGATACAGAGTCCCTTTTCCGTGATTTAAATTCTGGATTGATTCTCTGAGAGCCCAGCCTGCAGTCTCTGGTCCATCAGATCTCACTGGAAGACTAAATGGTACAAAGTGGTTTATTCTAATAGCTTCAGACTGCCTTAAATGGATAAACAAATGTAGCTGTAGAACAGATCAGGTGAATTGATACAAGGCACATCCCATTAAACTTAAAATAGATGTTATTATGTGCTCCCCAATGGTCATTATAATTTATATGAAATGAAAATACCCAGTTCTTTGATTATAAAATAGGCAGCAGCAGAAGTATTTCTGCGTGTTGGAAGAACCCATGTTCACATGATTTCCACTGAGAAAAAACCATGGACTGAAATTTGAAGGAGACACTCGCTGTGGTTTTGGGGCAGACACTGACCTACTCACACGTTTATGAACAGCTGCAGCTTCCAATTTTTGGTGCATGTGCTGTTCCTTAAATTATTGCTTACCACCTTCTCACTTCTAAAGTAGCCATTAAAATAAAAGCCATCAGTTGTATTTAAAATGTATGTGGTCAGTATGTTAGTTTCCTACAGAGGTTTCCCTGCACATTTGATATGTTTCAGTTGCCAAATAATATGATTTATGAAATATTCTGGATCATATTACGATTGTAAAAGTCATTTTTAAAGGAAATACATTTACATCTTTGGCAAAATTACAGCTTTTCAATGGTCCATTAACATACTTGTATTTTATGACATGAAGCACTGCTGAAAGATGGAAAAAAAAGTTGTTCACTGCTGCTACCTTTTACAAAAGAAGTTTCCCATTTTATTTATCATGCTTGAAAGGTGATATTCTTTATTGGCCGTACAAAGATAACTTTATTTGTGATCTAATGTTTAGATGCAGTCAATGGACATTAAGTTTTGACGCATGCTACATCATTGTTCTCTCCACTGGTAAAAGAGATGCTGTTTTTTTGTCCTCCATTTTATTTACAAAGTAATTCTTTCATAGTTGGCAATATGCCTCTCACACAGGTATTCCAGTTGTGTACCATTTGTTTTAGCATACAAATTGAACAGATCTGGGGTTTCTGGTTGCCCTCCGAGAGCTCAAGCTGGCCTGCATGTAACACTGTAGTTTCATGTCACTACGCTGACATTTCCTAATGAAATAATGCCCCTTTTAAAAACTTTTGACAAACTGGTCCAAACTCCACACTAGCACCTGGGGCCCTTTGTCTCTCTTGGGCCAGTTACTGACTTCAACAGCAGTCAGGATAGTACTGACAAGTTTACTAAGTGTATAATTGTGGGCTCTGATATTTTCATTAAAGGAAATTCCTGTGTTTGCTTGGGGTTTTATTTACCACTGATGTAATTAATTTATGCAGCAGTGATTTGATTCTATAAATGCATGACCACCTTTTCTTTCACAGATTTCTAGATGGATTTTATTTATGGTGTTACTGTATTATGTAGCGTTTATCAGAACAGTTTGGGGAGCAAATGCTTTCTGATAGGTATCGTGATACTGAAACAAAATTCTCACTGGCCTGATAAATGTGCCTTCAGGTAGCATTGTACAAGCAGGGGTTTAACACACAGGCCTTATTCACAAGATTATTAACTGGACTACTTTAAAGAGTTTTTAGAAATGTTCTATGCTCATCTGTCTGTCTGTCTGATGCTTTTCCTTTCTTTACCCCATGATGTTAATAAGACGCTCTTCAAAGGTAGACAACTACAGTATATAGGTAATACCAGTTTGTAAAACCAAGACCACTGGATTTGCTTCATATTTCAGGGCACGGGCAACATGCAAACAAAACCATCTTATGTGATCTGCAGTCAATCTGGTTTTGACAAAATGTGCTACAGATGACGTAAGCTGTATTCTGTAGCATTTTCATTTTTAAGATTTAGAATTAAGCTTAGAGACTGTAATAATCAGAGTACTGCTGTTATATTTGCTAAATGCTGATCCAGGTCCCAAGAGAAAATGACTATATCAACAATATAAACCTAACAGATTTTACCTTGTATATCTGCCAGGAGAATGTTTATGAGACTTTGAAATGTTGAAGAAGCTGGTTTTTATCCTAGCTGGTGTTAATTTCTTTTCCCAATAGCTCATTTTTATTTAAAGAAGATGCTCTAATATTCTGGGATAGTATAGATTATATATACTTTTCAAACAGGTTTTCTAAGATATCACATGTAGTGAATGACATTTCAGAAGCTTTTTGATGCAAATATCATCAGCTGAAAAATTGCAGCTATTACCGGGAACCCCATAGTGAAATGAAATCCTGTGTGTGTGGAAACTGAGTAAGAAATGGGAGTTTGTGTTTGTCTGGACTGTCAATAGGCATGAAATTATTCTGATACTTTCCATGTGATCATTGTATGTTAAATTTCACCTGGCAAGGCCCGCTTCAGGAAAGCGCTTAGATGGATATTTCAAGTTATCGACTTCTTTGAGCATGTGATTAAGAGCTTTTTGAAGAGTGACCCTAATTATCATTCCTATGACTTAAATAAGGTTGGCTGTGCCTGAACACCTACTTAACTTGGGGAACAAAGAGTCAGCATTTCATATTAACATATTAAAGGTTTGTATTTTCCTCATTTCATGTATTAAGCTCATTCCTTCAGAGAAGGAGAACTGTTTTAACCGGTTTTGACCAGTTTGTCAGGGGCTGCTGGCCAGGTTGAAAAAAGTGTTAAGTTACAGCTCTCTGAATTTTCTATTACAGATTTTACTATCGGCCAATTCTGCCTGTTCTTGTGTTTAATATTGGATCAGTGTCTGGAAAGGCTTTCGTCTGACGGGAACATATGATCAGTAATGACTTTGATATTTTTGGTCTTGCTGAAACTTGTCTGTCTTTTAGCAGTTCTTTCAAGGCTTTGAAATGGCTTCTGCGTTTTGAGCAGCGTACCTTGTATTGAGTTTCAAAAGCTTCAAATCCATACATGGCGTCCTTAATGTCAATGATTCCAGATCTTTCTTGTTTTACATTTCCTAACAATACACACGCTATCACCCGGTATCGTAAGCAGTTCTCCTGAAAGCTCACTTCTCAGAATAAGAGGAGTCTGGTTTCCTGTTTTCTTCTGCTGTTTGAAGAAAATACACTAAAGCACTGGTGCTGGAAACAGCAGCTCTCATTTAGGGCATGGCTCTAGAGAAAAAAAAAAAATAATTAAAAAAAAGCTACTGCTGCTTTATAATGATTTAAAGAAAAGTAAACCAAGTTCCCTTGAGTGGCTAGGGGTTAGTATGTTTTACATGGGCACAGCTAATTCACCTGAAGGAAATACAGGTTTCTTAAGGTCTTAAAAAGCACCTTTGAAAGCACTGTAAGTTGCTATTTCCATGTATGCCCAAATTTTTGCTGCTGTGATAACATTAGAAAAGAAATTCAAATCACAGCCTTTTCTGTCCGTACATTGGTGTGACTGTTCAGTATTGATTATTATTTCTGTGCTGTTATAGGTCCTTCATTGCAATGTGATGATCTGTAGAGAACCATGGAAATAAATATTTGCTTTGTTTCTTACAGATTATTTTTGGAGACAGAAAAAAACTTCTCTAGCTGGTTTTCTTACGGCCTGTTCCAACACAAAGATGTCTTCAAGAGCTACTAATACAGGTACTTGTTTAATATTTCATAATAGGCTACCCCAGAACTATACCAATGTCCGGAAAATGGAGGCCAAATAGTCAAGTAGTTTATATAAATGATCTTGTAGTATAGGTTAAATCTATGCAAAAATATCTGTGGATTAGGTTTTGGATTAAGCTTTTTCTATTCAGATTATGTTTGCTGAACCAGGTTATATCAATCCTTGTAAGTAAAGCATCTTTTTCTTACTTTTCTTACCCATGCTTAACAATCTCCAGCTTATTCCCATATCTGGAAAAAATATGAAAATGTTAGGAAAAAATATCAGGACAAATACTTCATTAATGCATATCCGGAACTCAGACACCCTTTAAAATGTTGACATGGGGG